TGGCCAATTAAACTACTCCCTTCTCTCAGATTAAATCTAACACAGAAGCTGTTAGAGGTGCTGATGATTTTAGCAGCTAGAGGGGCCCCTAAGACAAAGTCTGCACAGGGCCTCATATAGCCTTGGACCGGCCCTGCATGATGAGTTAAATCTGCTGCACTGCGCAGAGATGCGCAACAAACGGGAGATTTGGCTTTAGCAGCTCTTCCATTTCGTGTCTGTTGAGTTTTAATTGTCACAGAAACTATTCTGGTTGGTCGAGTTCATGGGACGAATTTCTCAGATTTCCGTGCAGCCGCGCTTATTAACTCTAAGTAGACAACGCATTTAATATGGTTTGAGCATCGTGTAACCGGAAAAATAATACTAAAAAAAAAATAATAAAATGATATAAAATCTGCGTGATGCGTGACTCCGAGGAGAGCGTTAAAGCTCCTCACCGGGCTGAACCTGCATGATCAGGTTAGCGCTGCTCGTTATCCACAAACGCTCCGGCCAACCGGGACCACAGACATAAACTTTACAGGGAAGACGGACACAGAGCCACACGCTGGGCAGCGTGTTGAGATGGAAACGCCGCATATAATTGTTCATTCACAAAGATAAATCATTCTCACCGCTCCGCCTCTGAATTCACTACAAGTTATTCCTGGGTTCACATTGAGCTGCAACCAGAGCTACGCGGCGGGTTTTAAACTCCTACCTAGAGTTCTCCAGAGGGTCATAATTCCTTCGGAATAAAGTTGATGTAAATATCCATACAGGTCAGCCTGAGTCCAGTTTGAGTGAAAGGAGGCGGCAGCTGTGATTGGTCCGCGCTGTGGTTTAAATGCGTAAACTATAAACCTATCTATTATAAACCTATCATTTAGGAATAAATCTGCTCTGCTAGTGAAATGCTCAAAGCAACAGAGACACTTGCAGCCTGGTATTAAAAAAAAAAAAAAAAAAAAAAAGCGATTTTTTTTTTTCTTTTTTTTTTTCCCCGAAACGTAAAAAACAAACCCTTGCCCGGGCGGCGGGGATATAAAAGAA